AGTGATCTGACTGAACATGCAGCAGGAGGTAGGAGAACTCACTCTTCATGCTTGTAGATGGTAGAGGCTCCTAGGGACAGAAAGTCAGCATTTGTTCAGGGCTGGTACTGAATTACATAGAACAATGTACAAACTGGGGACTTCTGTAATGCTGACTGTGTCCAGAAAGACTAGTTTGCAGAACCTCATACCAGTATCTAAAATGCACTTTAGGTTATTTTATCTTTAACCCAATTGCTGCAATTTCTTTTGTATATACTTTCAGAAAGTTTATTTTTGCTCTGATTAAAAGTTAACAGGGGTGTGCAAAGATGAGCACTTATCTTGGTGCAATACGTGTCGCTAAAGATCATTGTCCCATGTGGTTGGTCTAGGTCTGTCTAACTGAATTTGTGTAGTAACTAGCTCAGTGGCCTATCGCCCTACCCTGTCTACACACACACACACACACAATTATGCATCCTTAGCAAATGTCCAATCTATGCAAAACTTCCACTGAGAGCACGGTGCTTTAGCAGGCCTGTCCTCTCAAGCTTTCTGATAAGCTGCTTGTCACTTCGGTTAGAAGTAATAGGTTGTTTATATGTGTTGTGTTCATCTGTATGTCCCCCCAATCATTATTTCAGAATGAACATGAACAGACGTGACAAACTGTTCCTAGACAGGCATGTTGCACCTTTTAGAGTTTGTCTTCACAATCATTTTCGATGTCATGTTATCTGCCTTACTTCGCTGAGAATAACTCTCCAGCAGAATCATCAAATATTGTTTTTGCAACTGCAGCAACATTGTTAACCTGTTTACAATACTCTTCCTGTACCAGTTAGAAGCAAGCATTGGCAAATGAACTCCTGGCTGGCCTGCGGGTCTGGAACTGCTTGAGGGAGGGGGCACTGTTAGTTTGTTAAGGTATAATTGGCCTCGGAGCTCATAGGTGATGGAAAAACTAGTCTCTTATGGACAATATTATGCAGGTGGAAACTGAAATGGGAGGCAGCACAGTCCATTGTATAGGGCAGTGGATTGGGAGCCAGGTAAGCTAGTCCTGCCTCTGCCACTGACTGGCTGTGTGACCATGGGCACGTCACTTAACCTCTCTCTACCTCAGTTTCCCTCATCCATAAAATGAGGCGAGTGATGCTCATTCACCTTTGTAAATGCTCTGAGGTGTACGAATGAAAAGGGCGAAGTGCGGAGTATTACCAATACGAGCTAGCTTGGCAGAGCAGTTAATAATTAGAATCAATTGGGCTTTGAGGCAAAAATAACCATTTCTTTAACACAACACATTTCTGATTGCATTGTTTTTAATTGTATTTTTCCTCAATATACTTTGGAAACAATGTCGAGTTTTTATAAATGTTACTGTAGTCATTACTCATGGACAGGGCTGAACTTTTAACTTTTTTGCATCGTCTTGATATAAATCATATGTTCTAGAAGTTGGATTCTGTGTCTGCACTGAGAAATGCAAACTAAACTGGATATTTATGTAGTAGCATACATAGTCTAAATGTGTGTGTTCTTGGAACTAGTTTAAAAATCCCACACCATGCTTTTGATGGTGTGCAAGCTGGCCAAAATTTGGTTCATTATGCAGTGTACACTTTCTCAACTAAATGCAGTTTCTACTTTTTCTTACGATAAATTTTTTTCATATGATCTTTTTCAGCAAAATCAAGGGTATGTTTTTGCAGTCTCGTAGCTACAGTAGCTGGCATTCAAAGGTTTTCCTTGCTCTGTAGCTTTGTGTCCTTCCACCTGCTTATAAAGTGAAGCTATTCACTTGACCCTTATTTTGAAGAGAAAATAAGAGCTGACATTTTGCTTTATTTACACAGACTAGCATCAGTTAGGAGGGCAGGGAACTGCTGGTTAGTTATTGAGCATTTGCTTCAGCATTGATCGCTGCATAATCTTCAGACCAGCAAATCTAGGAAGAGTTTAGGATGTTTATTTACTGCTTGTGTTTTACACGTACTGGGAGCCGGGCAATGGTCTTGGAGATGATTTTAAAAAACAAACACATCAATTTCTCAAGTGTGTGTGTATGGTATTAAAGGAATTTATTTAACTATGAAACATGGGAACAAATGTACTTGCATTGAGCAACATGAAGATGTTAGTTACAGGTACAGTACTTCCAAAGGAAGAGCATCTCCAAAACCCAAAAAAGAGTAAATATGAATTTGTATTTTTGAAGAATGTAAAATGTGAAATAATGGTGTTTGCTTAATTGCTCATTTTGTATAAAGTTAATATTGTACTTTGAAATATCTGCTAAGAAGTGGAAATTAACATTTTTTGGAATTGAAAGCAATATTAATACTAATGGAATCCTAATTAAATGCTTATTTAAACATTGTGGTACTGGAGTCATTCCTCAAGGATTGATCAGTTTCTTTGGAATGTGAGTCTGAGCACTTTGCTCTCCTTTCCATCAGAACAGGCACTGAGACTTTGGAGTTTGAGAGAGAATAGTTTTCCTATGCAGTTGGATTTCTTTTTTCCCCCCACATACTAAAGTTTTTGGATCCACGACCTTCATGTTCATAAAGGTACTTTCCGGCATGTGGAACAGTTTAAGATGCATGCAAAGGAGTAAGACCAGCTGTTGTAAATACTTATGCTGTATACTACTCCCTCCCTCCCTCCCCCCAAATAATCGTAAGGGACAGTGTTCATCCAAAGACCCCAGAGTACCTCAGATTCAGCATACAGGGATCACTTCATTCACCCGTGAAATGCAGCAGTTGTTCAGCAGTGCACACCCCCACCTTCCAGGAATTGAGGAATGAACATCTTCATCCATTTGAAACTGCAGAGGGAATGAGGAAGGTAAAATAGAATTGTTCTGTAGAGCACTCATTTTAGTATTACTGGTTAAAGGTGCTTACACAAGTAGTAGTCTGTGATAAGGAGCATAAGTGGCAATAAAAGTAGAACAAGAGGCAAGTGATAAGGAGAATGGATTGGCCAATACACAACCAGCCATGGCACAAAGAATTTTAAACAAATTGAGCTTGGAAAATAAGATTGCCTTTCTTAGAATTTCAGGTACATAAGAGGATCTGGAGCGGGGGGGGACAAACTTTTTGGTCCAAGAGCCACATCTGGGAATAGAAATAGTATGGCAGGCTATGAATGCTCACAAAATTGGGGTTGGGGTGTGGGTGGGGGTGAGGGCTCTGGGGTGGGGCCAGAAATGAGTTCAGGGTGTGGGAGGGGACTCCAGGTTGTGGCAAGAGAGAGAGGGCTTGGGCTGGGGATGCAGGCTCTGGGCTGGGACTGAGGGGTTTGGAGGGTGAGAGGGGGATCGGGGCTGGGTCATGGGGAGAGGCTCGGCTGCAGGCTTTGGGCGGCGCATACCTCAAGCAACACCCGGAAGCAGCGGCATGTCCCTTCTCTGACTCCTACGCGGAGGTGCGGCCAGGCCACCCCATCCGCAGTCACCGCCCCTGCAGCTCCCATTGGAGTGCATAGGAGCCGGAGCGGGGCCATGCGGTTGCTTCCGCGAGCCGCATTGAGCGGCCCCTGACCCTGCTCCCTGACTGGAGCGCCGGAGCTTGAGGGCCAGCTTAAAACAGCTGGTGGATCAGATCCAGCCTGCAGCCCCTAGTTTGCCCACCCCTGCTCTAGACCCTGGGCTATTAGTAAGGATTGAGGAAAAAAGTAGGAAAGGCTTCTTTGCCCAGCCTTGGCATTCTCTCTCTTACGTACTTATTCTGTATGTCTATTTCTGTAGCAGCTGAGCTTCCACCACCCTGGGGAGGTGCTTGTGATTTGACAGGTAGAGAGGCTGTGACTTACTGAAGTCTAGGATGGTGCATGGACATCAACCCAGGTCTCCCAAGTCATAGCTAGTGCCCTAACCACTGTACCATGCTGCTGCTTAGCCTTCCCCCCCCCCCCCCACCGCTTTGTCAGCTAGTGGTAACTGCGGGTCTCTGCAGTCATTAACTCAGAGCTAAGGTCATAGGGTATTGCATGTTAATGAAAAGCCTCAAAGAGGTGAGAGCCTGGCTCATTCAGTGACTGGCCTCTCAAAAATGATCCAGAAGCTGCCAAAAGAGGGAGCCTCTTTGCTTTAGAGGCAGGGGAATCAGTAATGGCTGCTGGCCTCTGAACAAGTACCTGGTGAGCCAATTTAAGGACCTCAGGGGGTCCATAAGGCCCCTCATAATTGAGGGGTTCGGAGCAAGTCTCCCCCAAGTGGCTGGGCTGACTGCGTTCTGCCCTCTTATATTGTCAGTGGTCTAAGATTTGTATTAGGGGAGCATGAAGGAACTCTACTCCAGGATTGAGACCCCATTGTGCTTGAAACACAAAACAGAGAGAGACTCAAGCTCTTCAGGGCAAGGACCAAGTCTATGATGATGAGAAAATAGCAGGATACAACAAACAGCTGGGGAAGAACATGGCCTGTGCAATGATCACACTTGGGTACAAAGCCATGGTCAGAGCACACCAGCTGTCACACTCAAGGTTCATCTCACTCCAGCCAGAGCCATGGCCCAGCCTCTCCAGGAGCATAACTGGAGGTGCAGTGTGAGGTGCCACATGGGTCAGTTCTTCCATGACTATTTTAGGCCCCTCTTTAACCCACTGTCAGACTGAAGTAAATCAAAGCAGAATGACCCTGGCAGCAGCTCCCTCAAACTCCTCAACTGAAATGTCTCGTGTGAAACCAGGGCAGCTGGGAAGCAGGGAACAGCAGCTGCTGGGCTTCTGCATCTCCTCCATCCCCCCCCCCCGAAGCCTGACTCCTGGAGCAGAAAGCAAGTTAGCAGCAGTTGTTTGACCTGCTGTCAAAGGCATCACTGCTCCAGGGTAATACTCCTCCCGCATTCAAAACACAGATAGGACCTCCCTAGGAAGGAGGGGGAAGGAATTTACAATCTGGAGCCATCCTCTGCTGAAGGCAGGAGGCTGTGAGGGGATGAAGGACACAGATCAGCAGGACAAAGGGTGAGATGCAGCCTCTGCAGTGCAACTGCTCCTGTGCACTAAAAGATCCAGAGACTGGAGGGGAATCTACTTTCCTGTTAGTGACCCAAGGTGACACTGGGGAGCCTGAGTGGAGTTAGCAGCAGTGATTGGAGCTGGGCTTGTTGTCAGACTGTTTCTTTTCCCCAGGCATTAACTTGTGACAGGCTGCAGCTTTCTCAGCACTAGAGCAAACAGTTTATCATTTATTTCTAGACAATGAGATTGAGAGTGCAGGTCACAGCAACATGCACTTACACACCACACCAAACGCATGGAAAGAGTTCAGGGAATAGAGGGCAAGTATATTTTGTAGGGAACAGCCACTGAGAGTTGTAGTGGCTTCCTTCATCAATAGCCCTCAGGTGAGCCGCTCATTAAGCATTTCAGGAATTCTTGTTCTCTTCTTGTGCAGGCAAGGAGCTGCCCTCTGTTCTGGCAGGAGCCTAGCAAATAAAAACATGCATCAATCCAATAACTCCCAGGAGTGCTTTAACACAGAATTTAAGGATGCCATAGACCTCACGGCCCCAGGGTCAAGATGCTGCTTTCCAGAGCTCAGAACATTTTCTAATGAACTTAGTAATTGAAGGGGAAAAAAAATGTAAACCCCTTCCTCTCCCCCCAACACACATCTTGCCATTCATGTGGAGATATGGCCTGTGGAAACCAGGGCACACTACAGGAGTTGGGCCATCTTGAGCAGACCAGTTGTGTGATGTTAAAGGAAAAGCCCTTGTCATGGCCCTGCTACTGCAAGGAAAGTGGGGAAGATCACAATACTCAACACAGAGAGCAGCCTGAAGACTGGTGATTTCTGCCATCAGCTCATCGCAGCTGGCAATGTTTGCCAGGAGGCGCTGCTGCCGGACTTCAAGGGATCTTAGCAGGGTTCTCACACCTTCAACCTACAGAGGGGCAGAACGGAGTCACCACAATACATTCTCCAGGGCCTGGGGGAGAGTAACTAGGGACCCCTCTGGGCTCTGTCATCCAGAGCCAGTGAGGTTCTTGCAATCTGCACCAGGCCTGGCAAGCAGCATCAGTACCAGTGGGAATCTCCCTGGCAGCTGCCTGCAGTGCCCAGCAGCCTTCCCGTACAATCCACAGGACTGGAGCAGTTACGTTAGTTACACTTGGTCTTGAACATGAAAATTGAATCAGTGTTTCAACAAAAGCAATAAACCCCCTGGAGAGGGCAGCAGCTGGGCCATGCACAGGGCTTGTCCTCACCACTGAGTTAATTCAAGTGTTGCCCCTAACCTGAATCATATCCACACACACACACCCCCCTCCTTAACTCAAGCATGGTGGTGAGATTTTTCTTCGAGTCCATGTTAAAATGCTGCTTTATGGCTTTGACAAAGTCTAGAGACAAAAAGCACATAGATATTTGACAGGTTTCAGATATTTTAATTATTCTTACATATAAATATAACTTCATCCCTACTGCCAGCCTCCATCTCCTCATGCCATAAGCCCCACACATCCATACAGAAATACAAACCAGTGACTCAGTGTCTGGGGGCTGCTCCGCATCCTGTTTCATAGCTTCCTCTGCATCCATTGCCAAGCTAGAGTTGAGAGCAGAGTGTTTTAGTCTTCGGGTCAGGACAGTTCGGTGTGGGAGATGACATCCAGTTCACCAAGTAGATCAGTCACACTGGGGGAAAAAAATCAGTTATAAGGGGTTTCTCTCCCCTGCTCCCAATCACAAATTAAAAACCCAGGATGGTATTGGAGCAGGCCCTCTTCACTAGAAAATGAGAGGCAATCTCTTTAGCCTCTCTGCCATTAAAAGAGAAGGAAAGGGTGTGGTGAACAAGGTACTTATTCCCAATTTGAGCTAGATTGATAAATTATCCAGCTGGTCATCAATTGGCAAAGGGGTGTTTGACATGAACACATACACTCTAGGAAAAATTTAATCAAAAAGCCAAAACAGTATCTGGAGGCAATCAGTGAGATTTCACTGGGACCTGCTCCACTGAGTAGATTGCACACTTAGAAAACATATTGGGAAATAGGGCAGCTTCCAAGCACAAATAGATTTAAAGAGAAAAAACAGAAGGTTTTTCTCAAACTATGTTAAATGGTAAATTCTGTGCCCCACAAGGGCTATTCAGCTAGAAGGTGCTTTGGTCCTAGCTAGTATTTGAACTGAAGAAAGGCAGTTGACATTACCTTCTGCTCTCCTAGGTCAGCCAGCTGAGGCCTTATTTATAACATCCTTCAGTGAGTCAATTGCTACCACCTGTTTTCCTTGAAACCTCAGCTTGTTCCATTTCTAAACAGGCCACACCTCTAATTATATCTTGTTCTTAAGGCTTCTTCAAGCAAAACTGTAGTCTTTGTAAGAAACCTGTTTTTGCTTTCCTTCATTCAGGCTTTGCTAAATTATTTCCTACAGGTCTTTGTTCTTTGCTGTCAGCTGTAGTACAATCAAAGGTCCCTATGGTGGTTGCCAGAAGAGAGAGTGGCACCCATCGTGATGTGTACTCGCCAAAGACAGCAGGCAGCCCTGCACCAGATTGGGACAACGGTTACTTGATGAAGCAAGGAGGGACTTTTGTGACCGGTGCTGTGAGATTAAATGGAGCTGTCACAGGGTCCTTTGAACCATGATGAATGATTTCGGTAGTTGGATAATGACAAGAGAGATTTGCAAGTGCACTAAGCAGAGGTGGCTTTAATGTTTGGACTTAGCAGGGCAGGGCAAAAAGAGGCTGGAACTACATATTAGCTTCTCAAGAGCTTCAGAAAAAGATCTGAAAGGCCTGGTGGCTTGGTGCATTCACCAGAAAAAGGCAGCACTCAGCGGGGCAAATCAAGCACTGTGGAAGCCAGAGCCATGGACTGGTGTTAAGCAGAGAGTGGGCCGGGGAATGCAGGTCTAGCAGAGTAGACAAGAACTACACTCTGGGGTGTTGTGCCCCACCCAACCTGCACTGCCACCCTATGGTGAATCCTTTGGCATTTTAACAGGATAGTGTATCTCCGTGGCTGTCTACCTGCTCTGTTTTCTCTTGTATGAACAGCACAGGGTGCAGAGAACAATTCATTCACCTGCCTCACATGCTGTGACAAACTGGGAATTTTCTGTAAGAGTTGTATGAATGATGTGCCTGGCAGTGACTTACTTGACTAGAGCTTGCTATCCAGTGGATGCAAAGAGGTTAAAAAGGAGCTCTTGGGGCAGAGCAGGAGATGTGAGGAGTGTGTGTGTCACTAAGTGTCTGGGTTGGTACAATTCGGTCATTAAAAGACTGGCTGAAACTGACCCATATCAGTGGAGGGTCTGGAAAGACAAGGGGAGCCCCAACCGTGCAACAACTGACACATCCATGAGACACTACGGCCGGCAAGCAGAACACATGATCGCAGCATGGGTCTAGAGGAGAACCGTGGGCCCAAAGATGTCGAGAGGCTAGGACAAAAACTGGCCTTAGGTGAGACACAGGGCTCTCACCTGGGACTGAAAGACACAGAGACAAGGTCGGGGGAGAAAGCGATTCCAAAGCAGCTTAGCTGGCTGATTGCACTGTCCTGGCCAGAACGGACTATGTCTTCATCTTTGCTTCTCTCGGCTAACCCAAGGATTTCCCAGTGATGTGTTCCAGTTGACTAATAAACGGTCCCTACTCCATTTTGGAAAGGCAGCCTGAGGTTACTGCAAATACTTGCTGAGGTGCATTGATCCCTGAAGAGTGTAAAATCTCTGACCAGGAGTCTATCTCAGTTGACTCGCTGGGCAGAGCTCACGGTGTGAAGCAGGAGTGCTGGAGTCCAGGCAGTCAGACTTGAAGGCAGTGAGGCCTCATGGCCTACCCCAAGAGAGTGGGACCTCCTGGGGGTCTGGCACACTGAAGGGATTCCTCTGAGGGGTTGTTGAAAAGCTGGGGGTTGGCGCAGATCCTGTGGATCTCTGACACAGGCAATAAGTAAATTCCATGAGTTTCTTCTGCAAGAATTTTATTGCCCTAAAGAACCAGGGTCGTTCTAAATTCAGCACCTGTCAATGTTTTACTAGACCCCACTCCCCTGCCAGAGCTGGGGAGAGAACCCAGGAGTCCTGGCTCCCAGCCCCGCCCCCTCTAACTACTAGACCCCACTCCCCTGCCAGAGCCAGGGAGAGAACCCAGGAGTCCTGGCTCCCAGCCCCGCCCCCTCTAACTACTAGACCCCACTCCCCTCCCAGAGCCAGGGAGAGAATCCAGGAGTCCTGGCTCCACGCCCCGCCCCCTCTAACTACTAGACCCCACTCCCCTGCCAGAGCCAGGGAGAGAACCCACGGAGTCCCTGGCTCCCACGCCCCGCCCCCTCTAACTACTAGACCCCACTCCCCTCCCAGAGCCAGGAGAGAATCCAGGAGTCCTGGCTCCCAGCCCCGCCCCCTCTAACTACTAGACCCCACTCCCCTCCCAGAGCCAGGGAGAGAACCCAGGAGTCCTGGCTCCCAGCCCCCCCTGCTCTAACCACCAGCCCCCACTCCCCTCCCAGAGCCGGGGGCAGAACTGGAGTTGGAGGGGCCTGTCTCTTTAAGGAGCGTGACCGGAACAACGTCATCGCATCCTTGCGGAAGCGGAAGCGGAAGCTCCTTCCATGCTGAGCGCGCGCGGGGTCGCGCTGGCTGGCTGGGCCCGGGCCGCTGAGGAGACTGTGGGGGGCGCGGGACCGGGATGGGCCGGGGGGCGGCGGGGCCTTCACCGCCGGCTGCCGCTCCCCGGGCCCGGGCGCAGCGCGGCGCAGCGCGACCCGCAGGGTGAGCCGGGGGGGAGGGATCGGGGCCGGGCCGGGGGGAAATTGGGGTCGGGCCCGGGGGGTAGTTCGGGGCGGGGCCGGGGCCGGGTCCATAGGGGAGTTCGGGGCGGGGCCGGGGAGGAGCTGGGGGCGGGGCCGGGTGTGTTATCGCGGCCTGGGCGGGGCTCGTCTCCGCAGAGCGGCGGGAGCCCCCAGGAGCCCGGGCCGGGCCGGGCGGTGCCTTCACTGGCTTCGCGGCCGCTCGGGGGCCCCCAGCCCCGCGGCAAAGGCGGGCGGGCTCCGGGCCGGGCTGACCGGGGCAGACGGTGACGCGGGTGCGGAGGCGGGTGCTCGGCGCGGGGTGTAACGCGGCGCTCTTGCTGCCCGACAGGCTGGCGGGAGACGCTCAGCGCCGCCGTGAGCGCGCTGCGGGAGGGCGGCCTGGTAGCGGTCCCCACCGACACCATCTATGGGATCGCGGCTCTAGCCCAGAGCTCTCAAGCAATTAAGAAGATCTATAATCTGAAAGGGCGAAACGGGGGCAAGCCCCTGGCGATCTGTCTGGGGGACGTGGAGCATATTTACAGGTGAGCATGTGGCACGGTTGGGACACTCGCCTCCCGCGTGCCAGGGCCACTGCAGGGAGTCTGTCAACCTACCTGTGACTTGATCTTTTAAAAAGTAGCTTTTGTGAAACCTTCAGAAATCACACACTATTAAATCGCAGTGGGAAGTTGTTTTTAAGCAAGTTTTCCTTTGCAGCACTTGAGCACTTTCCGGGTAGCTACCGTCGGCTTTGTTTTCATGAGTGGTGTATAATAAAAGTGAATTGGACTAAATTGACATCCTGGTTCGTGCTGGGAGAAATGCGCGCAGCTTCAATCACAAACGTAAATGGAATGCTCAGAATTCAGTTTTAATATCTAACATGTTGGTGACACTGGGAAACAGATGAGTTTGCAATATAGATTTTAAGATGTGTCCTCTCTAAACATCTCAAATCTGTGTCCAGCACAGCTTGCAGTAGGGCAGGTACCTTGTGCCGTATATTGAAAGGGGGACAGATGTACCTAGAGAGCCCAGGGAAGGGAAATCCCCTCAGAGAAGGGTCTGGGGCTGCCAGAATTCTCACTCTGTGCTGCTTTGGTCAGGGAGGGCCAGCCTATTTTCTTGCATTTTGCTACCTGTCTCAGCTGTGAATAGCAAAAATGTAAAGCGTCGGGAGAGGAGTCGCGGTAGCTGGGAGCGTGGCAGCACTCCCAAGGAGGGTTCGTCTCTTATGGCTGCATCCTGTAGCAATTTTAAGTACATCTCAACGTACTTTATAGGTACTGCCATGTCAATGTGCCAGAAGAGCTGCTGCGGGACCTCCTCCCAGGACCTGTGACCCTGGTACTGCAGCGCTCCGAAGGACTCAATAAAGACCTGAACCCTTTCACGTCGGTAAGTCTTTGGGACACGACATACATCTCTGCAATTTGACAAGTGACTATCTTCTCCTTTGAGTGTGGTTCCTTGGCCTTCCCACTTGCGTTCGTTTTGTATTCACAGCATTCAGCATCAATTGACATCTTCTTGAGGCTAGTTCCTGCCCTGTCAATAACGAACATGAGCCAAGATGGATGTATTTGTAGGTGTCCTTGTCACCTGTCTGAATGTGATATAGCTTGTAGTTTTTGATGTGCAGAGTGCTTACCTCAAGACAGCGTATGAAGCTGGCAGAAGGACCTCTCCTTCCTTTTTTTGTGGTCCACACTTTATACTGTGCGCCACATCCAGAAATAGAATTCCGGATTCTAGAATCAGATCACTTGTTTTAAAGGATTTAGAATTTACCCAGTAAGGTGTTAATGGGAGTTAAGAAGTAATACAACTAAATTAAATAAAATAGCAGCTCACCTCTTAGTGAGAACCCTGAGGAAAAAGTTTCTAGCACTTGACTCCCAATCTCAACATCTATATTTGTAACAGAACATTGGAAGCAACAGCTGAGGGTGTTGCTGTCCAGCTGAGAAACTCCCTCAGTAGGGCCACAGGCTGTCCATAGTTCAGATCCCCGGCTTAGTTCCCTGTCTGACCGTCCAAAAATCAGAAGTTGAACTTCAGGGACATATCTAGGCAGATGTGTCCCCAGAAATGTTTGAAATGGTATGCAGTCCGCCCCCCTTACCAACCCCAGTCTCAGGGAGGAGACTGGCAGTGGCTTCGCTGTAGTCAGTGTGTGTGTGCTCAGACCCTTGGGCCAGTGCAGCAATAAAGAGATCCCCCTCACCCTTCCTTGGAGTGGGAGATGCCAGCTGCACTGACCATAGGGAGGCAGGGACAGCCGGCCCAGCCCCACCCCCCCTTAGCTGACTCTGGGGCTGTAGAGACCCAGCAGCCACTACCTCCCCTTCCAGCCATGCCTGAGACAGTGGTCAGGGACCCGCCAACCGCACAGGAGGTAATAGGCTGGGGCGCCCTTAGTACCTCCCAATGGGAGAGCCCCTGCCAGAGACCTGGCACTGTGGGCTGGCAGGAAACTGGAGGCCCTGGTACTTTCCCAAGCCTCCTGGAGGAGGGGGGAAGCTAGAGCCCTTACGGGCTTTCCACCGGGGGCCTGTAGGGCTGAATGGTACCAGCTCCCCCTGCACTATCTGGGTTATGCCCTGCCCTGGCATCAGGGCATGTCCCAGCACAACTGAAAATTAAGTGGCTGGGGCAGCAGCTAGATGGAATCATTATGTGGGCCAAATCAAGCCCTCAGACTGCCAGTTGGACCACACTTCTTTAGGTCGACAGGGCTTCATACATGTAATGGGATATGTGGTTGACCTGTAGCTCTGTGACTATTGCCTATAAATGCATCCTCTCTTTGGCTGTTGCATATAAACACACCTCTCTTCTCTTGTAGTTGGTTGGCGTTCGTATTCCAAATCACACTTTCATTAGGGAGGTGGCACAGGCTTGCTCGGGACCACTGGCTTTAACGAGTGCTAACATCAGTACTCGGGCGAGCACGCTGACCGTCTCGGTAAGGCTGGTTTTATATCTGGGGAGAACTGCTGTGCTTGGATTTCAGAGAGGAGGGGGGAGAAGCTACTAACCTGTTTGTACAGTAAGCCCCAGGGCCTTTCCCACGGTGGTTGTTCCTCATCCTGAACCATGCTATTTCTGCTACAGCCCCTGCTGCTGGGCTGGGAGCCTCCCTAAAGATTGAGGAAGGGCAGAGTTTAAAATGCAGACTGTTTAAAGGCTTCCTGTGTACTTTACTAAACATAATTGTGCAGCAAATGGTCCTGAGCCTGAGAATCCTTAGAGGGCACTTGTAGCTCCTCAACTAGTGAAAGTGCGTGTGTTCCGATGTCTGTGGCATGTTCAGATCAGAAGCTCAGAGAAAGGAGAGATCTTCCCTGACACTGGAGTCCTACAGAGCTTCACTTGTGGTATCTATTTAAAAACTCAAACAAAACCCCCTCAAAAGTTTGGTTGGCTGAACCCAATTTTCCCTTCTTGTCTCAGGAATTCCAAGACCTTTGGCCTCAGTTATCCTTGGTCATTGATGGAGGTGCAATTGGAGATATCCAGAGTCCAGAGTGTCGTCTGGGGTCAACTGTGGTCGACTTGTCTGTATCTGGGAAATACACCGTTATTCGGCCTGGCTGGTAAGCACTCTTTGCTGACCATAGCTGCAGCTTTCACTTTAAGTAAAACAAAATGCAATTGAAAGTTAAAACATGGGGCTTGTTTTGCCCATTTCCCTACAGTGGTTAGTGTATAATGTTGTCAAAGTGCAGTCGACAGATACTGGGTTCAGCAGGATATAACTTGCTAGTTCATAGTATACCCCTCTTTTGCACTGCTGGGCTGAAGATGACCTTGCTTAGCTGGTTCTCGTATTTTCCCTTAACTGCAAAATACAAAACTGTGGAACCAACTGAGTCCTGCAAATGGGAATTCCTTTCTAGTCACCACTCCACTTGCCTTTATTTCCATAGTGCACTGACACAGACAGTTGAAATCCTGGGGAAGAAATATGGCTTGACATCAGAACCTTCTTGTTCGTGAGATACCAAACTCTGGAAGCTGTGCAGAGTCGGTAAAACTGGGCACCATGTGCCCGTCTCTTCAGGAAGCCAGTGTCAATGGCCTTGTTTAATAAGGTCAATGGTTGGATCAGTCCTCATGTCTCACCCTGGGTCTCTTCATCATTTGTGTGTAATGGGTATTTGGTCTGTTGTGCATGGGTAAGAAACAAACCAAGTACTTCTGACCTCCTTGTGCAAGTGTAATATCCCTGATTACCATACAAGGGATCCTTTGCCTTGTGCAATGGGGTTTACTAGGATTTGAAATAAACAAATGTCTATTTACGATATCTTGGCAAACTGCTGCTCTGGCATGGGACAGAGGATAGTGTTTTACTGAAATATCTGTGTACAGCACTTGGGTTTGATTCAGATTTAAAGGCAACCAATTGCTGCTTTGACTTAAAAACACACCAGTGTGTGTGTGTGTGTGTTTTAAGGTTTCTTCTGTTTTACTTAGAAATATCAGGCATACAGTCTCCTCTTGCTTGGTTTTGCAGGAGTGAGCTTTGACTCCTTTAGTAGAGAGAATCCTTCTTCCACCTGTCTGTGTTTGACTTAAATAGTAGAGCAACTGAAAGGGAAATGGCTTTTTATTTTGGTGTAATCAGTTTCTCATGATGCCATAATCTTACTGTTCTCCAGCAAAAAGTAGTGAGTCTAGACCTGATATTTCTAATGGTGCCAAACAAGAGAAACTTTTCAGCTGCTCTTTAGTTATCAAAAAAGCATCCCTTTTGCAAGTCATGTAAGTTTTACTTTTAAGTGATGGTTGCTAATCCTGATACTAGACTAAATTATTCCTTTTTTTTCCTTGTAAAAGGAGAAAGGACAGACCCTGAAGTGCAGTGTTTTGAGTCCCTCATGAACTGTTCCCTTCATCACCCATGAAGTTATTGCTTTCCCTACTTAGCTGACCCACGGGCAAGGATCAGTCTGTAGTTTTTATAAATCTTAATTCAGTGAGATTGTTAGAACAACGGGAGGAGGCCAAAAGGGTCTGAGCCAGTATTTATTCTTCTGTGAACACTAAAATGAAATTAATCTGTTCATGGGGATATTTACTAGTGTTTAAAAAATGGTGACCAAACTGTGGTGTGTGTGTGTGTGTGTGTTTTTGAAACACAATTCTCTGTTATAAATGCTTAGATTTAAGGTGTCTGGATCTCTGCAATGTTTCTTTGTGTTAGTGCCATTAAAGTGTGAATTTTGTACATACACTGTTACCTTTGGAGGTGGTGATTTTCATCTTTCTAAGACTAATCTCTGTGCAGCCTAGAGTCACTTGTTGTAGAGATGAAGATTTGACTAGCAACTACCCTGCTAAACAAGGCCCATCATGCAGCAAGGCATGGAGCAGCTGGACTCTTATCAAATCTCAAAAAAGATGAACGAGGGCTTTATAACCCAGATGCTATTGTAAGTGAGACACAACCACAGGGATAGCTTTTTGCTTATTCCACTCTCGCACTAAATGGGGTGTACTCTGGTACCATGCACAGAACTTTGCAGCAGGAGCTCTTTATATAAGATTCCTTTTTGATTGTCAGGTCATTAAAGTGGAAATATGGACAAAGTGCTGAGTAGGAATACAAAAGAATAGCACAAGTATGGAGGGACAAAAGAAGTTACACCTGGTAAGGGATATAAAAGGTAATGAGCAGCAAGAGTTTAAATACAAAGATGGGTGTATGTGAGTACCTAGTATTAAATAAGGATATTAATATAATAGGCATCATGGAAATGTGGTGGAATGATGATAATCAATGGGACATGGTAATACCAGGGTACAAAATATATACAAACAGAGTAGGTTGTGAAAGAAAACAGATTCATACAAAAAACTCTACCATAGAATCTTTTTGGATAGAAATTCCATGCTTGGAGAGTAGGAGTGTAGAAGTAGGAATACACTACTGCCCACGGGAGCAGGCTGGTACTAGTGATTGTGCAACAGGCAGAGGTTATAAAAATAAAACCAATAATAATGGGGGCTCCAACTACCCTCTATTGACTGGGTACATGTCACCTCAGGACAAGATGTAGAGAGAAAGAAAATTTCTAGACACCATAAGTGACTGATTCTTGGAGCAGCTAGTCCTGGAACCCACATTGATTTAGCCCTAAGTGGAATACAGGATTTGATTCAAGATATGAATATAGCTGAACCCCTTAGTAATAGCAACTATAATGTAATTAAATTTAACTTGTAGGGGGGAAAATACCAAAGAATCCCACCAGAGTAGCATTTAACTTTAAAAGGGGGGAACTACACAAAAATGAGGAAGCTAGTTAAATAGAAATTAAAAGGAACAGTCAGAAGAGTGAAATGCCTGTAAGCTGCATGGAAATGTCTTATGAACACCATAACAGAGGTTCAGACTAAATGCTTACCCTGGGCTCAGTCTTTGGCCCTGGGCCCCATTAAAATGGGGTCCTGACCCCCAGTTTGAGAACCACTGGACTAGATGACCTCTTGATCTCCCTTACAGCCCTACACTTCTAGGATTTTAATATTTTCTTTACCTAGAGTGAGATGCTAGAAAGAACATTTTCAATCATTTGCATTAAATGGAGAAAAATGAAACCAATAGTGCTTTAACTGTACAGCAAAAGTCAGAATTTGTATGAATTAAGCATAATTAATGTGACAAGGTAGAGCCTGGTGCACTAACTCCAATCTAAAACTGCCACTTCTCACTTTATTGATAAAAAGACAAGTACAAATGAGTTCTTAAAACAACAAATGTAGAAGGGCCTGGATGTACTGTAATTACAAAAAAGGGTATTTATTCTATAGTGATGTAACTTCCTTCTGGTAGAACACATTCGTGTTTTCAGTTACATTTTATTGCAAGTGGTTGCACTTCATTTGATTCTAGAGACAAGATAAAACAAAGTTAAGGCTAAGTTTTGAACATGTGAAACACAGAGCATTTAGCACAGATCATTTCAGTTCATTGGTTGCCAATACAGATAATAGGTTAAATTCCAGCTTTGATTGTTTTTAGTTATTTGGATACAGTGGCTCACTGACACCACCCAAAGGGTATCTAACTGTATGGTTTTGTTTCTTCTACAATAAACAATTTTGAGGAACAATTAACTCTTTGCTTCAATCAGCTAATAATAGAAGTGCACTGTCAGAGCTGCTAGTGGACTGTGTAGTATGTAATCGGCAGGCAACTGGTGAAGGGCATAGGATAAAACACATGCTGGGGGTAGGAGCCCAGCTAATATCTAAAATACCACACTAAACATATGCACTGTAAGAAAAACAGATCTCTTGCTCATTCATTCCCTGGCCTGGTCACTTACAGGCCAGTTCAGATCCAGAAGGGCTTTAAAAGGGACATCTGTACTAAACTCACAGCAGCAATAGAACAGACTGCTGCTTAGAGACCCCTCTGCTCACTAACATTTCCTCTTGTGAGTGTGGAGTTGGTGCTCAAACCAGCTTTAGGGCTGTTCATGGAGAACACTGTATTTAGCCAACTGAACAAACCCACCAGCCCTGAACAGAGACTGTGACCCATAAGATGCTTTTCCCAACTGCTCCTTAAGCACCTGTCCCCACAACCGATTGTGACCTTTTTCATAAAGCACAGACAGGCTGTCTGAAGGCTTCCTGTGCAGAATAATCACATCAGCCATTGCTCCTTCTCCTTGCTGAAGTGTTCTGCCCACCTGCGGGTCAGCTCCAGATACATGTTGGGCTGATGAGGCAGGTAGTCCAGATACAGGCGTGTTAGTGTCTTTTTGGGCACCGCTTTCTCAATCTGAGTGCCTTCATGCCACTCATTGAAGGAAGTGATGGAGACTATCTCCGGCCTTACCATGAGTGCAGCCTGCAGAGCCGTTTCATAGTATTTTCCATTGACTCGGTTGCGAGTGTTGTGGTTGTTCCATGGGCGGATACTAGTATCAATGTAGCCTGGGCCAACGCTGGGAATGAACATCAGGTTGTTTGAGTCACAGAAGGCTTTGATAGCTTTCCAGTTCTGGTGGGATGAGCCGAAAGAGAAGCCATTGGATGCAAAATACGTGTACATGCCATCGTATCCTGCAGAGAGAATATCATGCTTGTGTCCTTCTTCCACTAGCAGTGCTATGAACACTGCATCGTACGGGGTATTGCGGAGGGAGTGAGAGCCTGACTGGGTGAAGAGGTTGGCCCAGGATTCAGGGGGTGTCAGGTAAGAATCATAAATGTAAAATAATGGGAGGCTCCGTCCTGTACTGGTCTTGTACTTATAAAAAGCTGCATGTGCTCCATACCTACAGAGAAAGCACAAACCATTTCAGTGAGTGAGCGGAGCCTGGGGAGCAAGCCCCATGCTGACTAGCAGGCAGGTATGCCCATTACAAGGCAAATGCAGCCTGAAGCCCAGCTCAATTGCATGTCCTAGTTGTTTCACTTTAGGCCTTTGCGTGCTCCCTGTGTCACCGTTTACCAGAATGGTTCAGCTGCATTGCCCGTGGTCAGACCGACAAAGGGGAGGACGTTGCACTGGATTGATCAGCATTTCAGACCCACTTTACCACGCTGAGGGAATGGCTGGAGGAACAGGAGAGCTTTGCTGCATTCCCTGAGAGACTCCGTCAGACTAACTTATACTTGAGACACCTGGCAGTGATGACCACCATCGACATGCCCATAAATGCCCCGTGGACACATGCCCACTTACAAACTGGCGAGAGACCCACCAATGGATGGGAATAGCTTTTGGTTACTGCCTGGCTCGCCTACATTCCAGTTAGTGACCCACAGTGAAAAGCTCTTTATCCCCCAGCATTTAAATCTTATTTTCTTGTTAACATCTCTGCCAATGGCCTTTGCTACAGACTCTGGGGCTAATACACTCACTTTACAAGGGTTGCTGAGGATGACATATAGGTAAAGGGCTATTTATAAGCTTTTGTGTGATGCTGTTGAATTTCTCTGCTACAGCACCCTGTGGCATAACTTAGCTCATATACAGAGCAAGCAAGACGTTTAATGCAAGTAAGACATGGTTGGCCTGACATACTATCTCTCAGCACAGAGTTGGGCCTGAAATATGCGCTAATGGCAGCTACTAAAGGCGAAGCACTTACTTGTCTATGATGTATTTAATGTTCTCATGCACAGTGTGGTCATCGCGCCCTTTGTATGGCTGGATGTGGAAAGCAACCTTCAAAATAAAACATGGAGACGTGGTGACAGCAATCTTACAGCACATGCTTTCCTGGTGACAATCAGTAAGTGCCAGACCCTTTGAAGAGGTCACAGTATCCACCCAGAAGCTGCCTAGGCAGCCCCCTTGCAGGAAACAGACCAAGGGTCTGTTCCATCATCACAGGGCATGTAACCTATCCCTGGGAGCCGGTACAAGAACGGTTTTATAGTCGCTTTGTCCAATTAGTTTTAATATTTGTGAGCACAAGCTGTAAATCCCTCTCATGACGTGATGCTAGTTTGTGCTCAGCTGTTGCACAATAAAGACTCCCCACTGCCTCCCATAACGAGCAGTTAAAAATAACACAAAACAACAGAGACTTCAGAGCAGGCGCCTGCTGAAGGAACACAGCGGCAATTCCTGGTTAATTTGAGCAATTAGTTTAATAGCTTCAAACAACGAGAGAGCAGCCTTACCTTTATGGCATACCTGTGCGCGGCATCCAAGATAAATGGCACAAGACTATCTGATGGCTCCCCGTTGTCATCTGCCAGGCCAGGTGGGTACCAAGACAAAACCAGGACTCCTGCAAAAAGTTCCAGAAGGAGATCAGGACCAGCCAAATGCATTGATATTTAAATCCTGCCTGCCTTCTGCCTCTCCCATGCAACTCCAGAACTCGAACTTATTTCTAGTCATTCTAATAATTGCACAGAGTCCTCTAAGCTTAGTTGTCAAAGCAGTTAAACCTCAGATGTAGGAAGGAAACCCCTTAAAATAGGAGGGTCTGAACCACTAGCTCTACCCAGCCTGGTTCCTCTGTTTTAATACCCGAGTGCGGGGAGATGGTTATAATTGTCCTCAAGCATTTGCAGGATGTCCGCACCATTAGGTATACTTAGTAGCAGGGTAACAGTTTGAGACTTCCTCAGGATGAAGTTAAATTCTCAATCCTCTTCTCAATAGCCCCATCCATGGCACAGTGCTACAGGAGGACCAGTTCTAAGTGCCTTAGCTAGTGCATAGTGGAAAGACGCTAGTCTGTATTAATATGTTCCAGTTTAGTTATGTGGACGATCTACAGCATAGGTGTTTTAAATCCTGTTACCCCACAAAGACACTGCATTTGGAAAGGAAAGGGTTAATTGATAGACCACTGGTAAACCCTGTAACTTGACCTTTCTCAAAGGAAAAGCATCTGGCTTTAAAGGAGGTTTTTGTTCACCAGCCCGGTAATTGAATAATGGAGCTGTCCGGAGCTGGAGGTGCTGAAATTTCATCTGTGCTTAACAGTCCCAAACGAGCAAGGTGCTTCTCAGGTGATGGTTGAGAACTATTAGACTGAATCCTGGGCAAACAAAGCCTCTTTAATACACGGCCAAATGAGGATGAACTGGCACAAACAGACTTCCCATTGCTCACTATTTGATTAATGAGAATATAAAGATGCCATTAACTGACTCACTCAATTCTCACCGAAATGGAGCCTATTTTGATATTAATGATAGTTTGTTTTGATCTGGTTCACACTATCTTCCTGTTGTGATCTCACCTGATCTTGAAAGCAGGCTGGCTGGGCTGGGCCAGTACTTGGATGGGAAATCTCCAAGATAAAAAAACCACACAATGCTACATGAAGAGCTGCTGGTGACAGAGAACATACAACTAATTCAGGCCCATTCTAGAGAGCAGGAGGCTGCCACATCTCAAACAGAGGTCCTGAACTCTTAGAATCAAAGTCCCATGGCACCTTTTGTGTCATGCCAGCTGGGATGTTTGCCCCATTCAAGAGTCAGCGTTGGCAATTTATAGCATTTGTTTAATTTTGGAATTCACTTGTCCTGTGTGATCCTGTATAGCACAGAAATTTGAAGGAGCTGATCTCTTAATAATATACACTTTGGTACCAGTGCTAATGAGGCTGTTCAATACAGTACATAATTGCTCTGCTGTATTTATACTACTACACTTTGCAAGCTACACAGCAAAATATGCAAGTTAAAAAGAAAACACTTAGCCTTTAAGGCAAGCACAGAATAGACCCAACCTATCAGTACTATTTTCATTCCAGCAACACCTTCTGGCAGTCTTAAATAACTTTCTTTCCCTTTTTTTTGAAGGCAAAAGGCATAGTTTGCCAATTTTTAAAAGTTACCCAAATTTGAATAGCTTTGCTACAAGCTGAATTTTTGACCAGTTTTAACCAGGGTTTTCTAAGTCTTCATGTAGAAGTTTTACTCTGGTTTGTAGAATGAAAGTCTCTCATATCCTTGCATTCAGCCAAAGGCCCTTTTAATGTCCTGGGGTTTGTAACTATGCAACACTCACCTGCTTAACTTGAGTCATGCAAGCAGCCCCCTTAACTTCACTGTGAGTAAAATTAAGCATGCAGGTAAGTATTTGGAGAAACACTTACTAAAAGGTACATTTTCCTTGACATTCAGCCTAAATTTTCCTTTAATTTATTCCCATTACTCCTTCTGCAACTGCTTTGTACTGTACCACCCTCAATGTCTCCTCTCCCACCTTGGTGCTTACATCCTTGTTAACTTAACCCCCTTGTCACCATCTGGCCTTCACCATGGGTTAAAGGTACAAAGCAACTTAGTCTTTGTCAGGAAACTTCACTGTGGATGAAAATTCAAATATATACACCTGAACATTGAAAGTTGTGATGCTATCCTCTCTGAATTGGGGTTAAAGCAGTTTATGAATTATTTTTCCAGTATTTTAGAAATATTATCTTAGAATCATAGAATCATAGAATATCAGAGTTGGAAGGGACCTCAAGAGGTCATCTAGTCCAACCCCCTGCTCAAAGCAGGACCAATTCCCAGCTAAATCATCCCAGCCAGGGCTTTGTCAAGCCGGGCCTTAAAAACCTCCAAGGAAGGAGACTCCACCACCTCCCTAGGTAACGCATTCTAGTGTTTGAGGACTCTCGTAC